TGGGGTGGGGTGGGTGGATGATAATAGAGCAAAGCTATGAGGATGGTAAAGATGCAACACGGAGAAAAATTGTCTTTATCGAAAAATCGAACTGTTTTCAGTGTGTCGTAAGCGGAATTACTCTTGTTTCTGTGAAAGTGCGAATTCGAGCATAAACGGATTCGGTCAAACGTGTTTGCCCTCAGGCGAAAACACTTCGCAAAACAACACGACTTCTCTTCAGTTTGTTTTCGCAAACATGTTATGAGCATATGTTTTATCACAGAAGTGTGGTGCATGTATGATATAATAATTGCATGGCTGATTGGAACGGACAATTTAAACGTTCGATAACTTGACTGATTGGACCATAAAAATGTCGCAATGCGTTTGTCTAGGGACAACAAAGAAGATAGAAGTTGGTGATGTGTGTGCATACCAACTTCAGTTTCATACAACAAACTCGTTCAGTGATTTTAGCCAAATTCCATTCGTGTGTGTATTGATGTCATATATTCACAGTTTCACACAACTTTGGGAGTAGGAACTTCTTTGAACCACAAAGGACGATTGTTACTTGGTCTCAGATTGAAATTACAAACCCCAAGTCTCATCACCACTGATGGTCCACCAAACTGCATTGGAACGTCCACAATCAGACCTGGCAAGCGAACTGCTTTCTGTTCCTCCTGAGCTGCTGGGGTACCTAGAGTGCGAAAATATTCGTGAGGCCGAGTTTCTCATGTAGGATTGTGCAGATTGATCGCGATGAGATCCCGATCGTTTTCGTCAGCTGTGCCGCTGTAGCCGGCGTCACCTTCACCCCAACATCGCTTGCCTTACAGCAATGTTCTCCGTTGTGAGGGCCTCCACAAATAGACCACGCAGTGTTTCATCCTACCAGGCTTGAATGCCGCAAACTACTTAAACACAGGGCTTCCATCATTACAGTCCAAGTATGTAACGACATTTGTATGACTTGTGAGCTGTGTTCTCGGCTGTGTTGTGATATTTGGTTCTGTGTGTGAGTTGCAATCACTGAACAGTAAGTAGATTCACAACACGAGATTACAGTTCACGTTTTTCTTTCCCCCGGGTCATCTATCTGCACCTCGTACTCGTCGTGTATTGACTGCGTATCCGTATCAGAAACGCGTTTTGCTCATCCCTCTTACTTCGGCTGAGCGTTATTTGAAACTTCATAGTTTCTACATTTTGTGCGTAAAATGAGAAATATTCTCGCAATTTTGACAGGCATTTTTCTAATTACAGGTCTCATTGAAACTGAAGGAATGGATCCCTGTGAAATACTTCGGCGTTCGTGTGAGCAATCACATTTATACTGAAATAAATATTGTTTTTTTTTTAAATAATAATAAACAAGCCTTGGTGAGTTGTGATAGTAGTGATCTTCGTGCTTAGTTTATACTCCGGCAGACAAGACTGTTCAGAATGTAGCGATACTCCCATTTCATCAGTAGTGTTTGACCTGGACCATAACGCGTTAAGCGCTAAACTAAAGAGAACAAAACAATTCTTATTTATAACAAATTACTACTGATAATAATTAAGGTGTAAATTTTGTGTACACTAATAGTCGATTGGCCTGCTTTTATTCTCTAGGACTTTTTCGATTCTCTTCAGCATCGAATTTACTAACTTTGTGATAAAGTCATTTTCTATTTAATGCTCAACAAGCTGTTCTGTTATCGTTTTTTTCGATGGATTATCCTGTAAAGCATTTGACAAGATTTGATATGGAAAACCCCAGCTTTTGTGATTTTACAGTTCTATCTCTGTCTTCTTCGTCCTTGAGGTAATGAGAACTTTTGGTTTCGAGCGCTGTTGGCTTTATTGTGGTGATAACAATATGAACGTTCATAGCTGCACACAAAAAATGACCTTGATTTCAAGGTTAACTTTAACGAAAATGGGATTTCTCGTGTTCAGTGAGTTAACTAACAAACAGATTATTTTTAATAATAACTCCGATTTAATGCAGTTTTTTCTGGTCGTGAAAGAATTTTATTTGGTTGTTCAATAGAGTTGCTAGTACGGATTATATATTGGATAAAATAATGCCCTCATAACAAAAAACCGAGAAGGCACAGGTTTGTGGAAATAATTAGGGATAATTTTTGAGTCGTTCCTTCTAGAATATATTGTATCTCCATACCTGATAAAGTTTGTGATTCTGATGTTCAGATTATTTTATCTGGGCCACGAAGGTTACACACGTTTGATTAACAGTTATGCCGCCTAGGAACTACGTAGATCGAAGTAAACAAC